GCTTGATGAGCAGTGCTTGGTCCATGCCCAGGATCCGAACCTGCGAACCCCAGGTTGCTAAAGCAGAGCACGTGAAGTTAACCATTACGCCACTGGGCCAGCCCCTCCTCTGCCCATTTTTTGAGTGGGTTCTTTGTTTTTTTTGTTGTTGAGTTGTGTGAGTTCTTTATATATTTTGGAGATTAAGTCCCTGTCAGATGTATTACTTGCAAATATCTTCTCCCAGTTGGTGGATTGTCTTTTCTTTTTTTTTCCTGGTTTCCTTTGCCTTCAGAAGCTCTTTAGTTTGATAAAGTCCCATTTCTTTCTTTCTTTTTTTTTTTCTGAGGAAGATTAGCCCTGAGCTAACTTCTGTTGCCAATCTTCCTCTTTTTTTGCTTGAGGAAAATTAGCCCTGAGCTAACATCTGTGCCAGTTTTCCTCCATTTTGTATATGAGTTGCTGTCACAGCATGGCTAATGAGTGGTGTAGGTCCACACCTGGGACTGGAATCTGTGAATCCAGGCTGCTGAAGCGCAGAGTGCCAAATTTAACCTCCATGGCACAGGGTGGCCCTGATGATACTTTTAACACCAGTTCTTTCTTGAGTTTTTGAACTCCTACCTTTAGCTGTCCACAGCCATGGTCAAAGCCTAGAATCATCACTGGGAATTGTTCCTCCTCTGTCATAAACTCTACATTTCTGCTTTTGACTTGGAGATAACGTTCTTATATACAGGTCTTATGCATTAGTGACGTTCTCTAATTCAGTCCTTCTCAAAGTTTTGTGTGCATCAGAATCACTTGGAGAACCTTGTTAAAGCCCAGAATCCTGGTCATACCCTCATAGATTCAGATTCATAGGTGTGGGTTGATGCCCCTGAATTTGCATTTCTGTCACCTCTGAGTAATGCTGAGACAGGTCTGGGGACTTGCATTTTGAGGACACTGCTCTAATGAATACTTTTCCCCCAAGGACCAATACCAAAACTTTCCACTCTGCCTCTAGCTTCTATTCATAGTCTTACTTTGTTGACTTTCTGTTGATGTCTTCTATAATTACTTTACTGAGGTAAAGGACTTCTGAAGGGAGATTTCTCATATTTTCTCGAAATGAGAATTTCTCTTTATTCTTATCCTTTTTCAGTTTCTTCTCTTCTTTCCTTCACTGCCATTCTCTTCTTCTTAGTTCCTTTGTCTTATTTTTTCCTGTTGACTTTTGACTCCTTCGTTATCAGTTAACATTTTTGTGTCTTGGGTTATCAGTTTCTCTTTGTACAGTAAATCAGCCTTTTCCCTCAGTCTCTAGATATAATCAAATAAGCCCCTTCCCTCAAAATGTTGTCCCAGTTCTCTCCCTTCTTTCTCTGCTAAACTTTTTTGGAAGAAAAGTAATGGCTTAACTTCCTTATCCTTTAGTAGATGTATCTTAATTTCTTACAGTCTGCTTTGGTTTCCAAAGTTTTACTGCACAGCCTCCTCACTGGGATGTGACTCCTAGGTTGGAAATGCAGAGATCTCTTCTAACTTCTGCCATATTTGATAACTATCTTTTCCCTTGTAAAGATTTTCTTCCTTTGTTTTCTAGTCACTGATTTTTAAAGTTTTCACTGTTCTGACTACTTCTGCTCTTGTTTGCGTAATACTTTTTAATCCCTTTCTGCTTTTTCATCAAAGCTTAGAGTGCTTTCTCATCAACTAAATCCCTTTTGTGCAATATGGGAGCCACTAGCCAAATGTGCTTATTGAACACTTGAAATATGGCCAACTCTGGCTGAGATATTCCCTAAGTATAAAATACACACTGCATTTGCAAGATTTAAGATGAAAAAGAGCATGTAAAATAAATCTCACTACATTTTTAATATTGATTGCATGTTGATAATATTTTGGATATATTGGGTTAAGTGAAAAATATTGCTAAAGTTAATTACTATTTCTCTTTACTTTTTAACTATGACTGCAATATCTGTGGCTCAGTTATATTTCTATTAGACAATGCTGATCTAAATTTCACCTTTCCTTAAAGACCTCCAGTTCAGTTTTCCATTTACTAGTATACATTTCTCGTTTGAATTACAGTACCAGCCTTCTGGAACATTTACTCCCTACCCCCCAATTAGATACGAAGCTTCTTCAGAACCAGGGTAATTCCCCATAGTGCCTTTCATATATTGGCATGAATATATATATATATTCACATATTTATGTTCATATATATATGAACATACATATATATATTCATATATAGAGAGAGAGATTGGGATATATAGATATGAAAAAAATTATGTGCATAACATGAATAAATGACTTGGCTAATATTACCACTTTATCAAAGAGGATGCTTCTGGTGATGATCCCTATTGTGATGTTTTTGCTTAACCTGATGGGAAGTAGGAAGAGTTGATGTGAAGGGGAGGAGAGGCGTTACTGTGCTCTGAGATATTAAAATCAGACATGAGACATGTGCTTTCCCCAAGTATGTGCAGCCGCCTCGGCCACTCTCGTAGTTCTGAATTGTGCTGTTGTGATTTTACCGCCATCTAGTGTCAAGGTTAGGAAACTGTAGTTCAGAATTTCATCTCCCCCACCCCCTCACCCGCCTGGTGGAAAGTAGGCAGCCTTTCCTCTGAATGTGGACCTGCTTTCCCCATCCCCCAAGTAGGTGATCAGTAAGAGCTCATTTGGTGTCAGTGGAGGAAACCTTTATTCTTCTTCTTGGAGCACTCTTTCTTTGGCTTCCCTGCTGACTTACCAGTTTCCCTCTTGTTTCTGTGGCCATTCTGTTTCATTCTTCTCGGACAGGCCATTCCTCAGTGTAGTAGTTTTCTAGTCCTAGATTCTGGGTCCTCTGCTCTTTTTATCCTGTTTTCATCCATACCTAAGGCTTTAAATCCTGCCTATTTACAGACAAATTTATAGTTATAGCCAAAAATCTCTTCTGATCTTGTCAGCAGTAACTCTGGTTGCCTGCCAAGTTACATGAGCATCTCAAACTTAACATGTTTGAGTCTAAATGTGGATCCCTTACCCCACCCCTGTTTCTCGAATCTGTTTTTCTCATTTCAGTAAGCTGTCACGCCAGAATTCTGGGAATCAGCTTAACAGCCTTTGTCTCTCACACTCCTTAGTCAAACATTAACTGTGTCCCATTCAGTCTACAAAGGTACATTCTTGTGTGTTAAATTTGTGACCCCTCCCCTGCTCGCACCTTGTCTAAGCTACAACTGACTCTTGTCTGGACTAAGGAGGCTCCTAATTAGTCTCCCTGCATGCACTCCTGAGTGCATTCATGTGTTTTATGTTCATTTGTTTAATATCAGCCTCTCCTAGTAGCTTGAGAGTTCTGTAATGGGAGGGACTGTGTGCATTTGTTTCACCATCGGGTCCCCAGCACCTGATAGAGTTCCTAACATTGTGTAATACATATATAGCCACTCTGGCTCTCAGTGATGTTGATTTGACTCCTGTAGTTTTAGTGATTGAACTTGAATATATTAGAATCTCTTTAATGCTTTCTTTCAGTATTAGTATTCTGTCCAAGTTCATTTATTATAAATGAGTTTTAGCTGTTTTCTACTTTTACCCAGAGAAACTTAATTGTATCCATAAGGGCAATATATTTTGGGTATTAATCAGCTAATGACGACAACCTACTTATATATTGGGGACTACAGGCAGTATGCTGAAATTTTCTTTTGAGCGTGTGAAATTTAATGCCAGTGGTTTGTCTCTTAGCATTCTGTCTGAAATTTAATCTTCTTTAATTTTACTAGGGAGGTACATTTGCTAAATCTTCAGTTAAAACCTGTTTGACTCCAAGTGTTCTTTTACACGGAGTCTCATGTCTTGATAGTTTTATTTAATAATTTTGATTTGCTTTGATGTTATAAAGATGGTTTGGCTTTGTAAAGTTTTACTACTCAGACTTATTTTCTGCTTTGAATTGATGATGTTGCTTAATAAAGAAATTTAATTTGTAATAGAGGTGATTTATAAAAAGTTGCTATTTAGAGATGGGCAACAATCTGTATACTAATGATAGAAACTCAGAGAGCAAGGATTAGTAGGTATATACTAGGGTTTCTCAACCTTGGCATTATTAACATTTTGGATCAGGTAGTTTTTGTTGTATGTTTGTGTAGGGGAGCTGTCCTGGGCATTGTAGGATTTCAGCAGCATCCCTGGCCCCTGCCCACCAGTGGCACCCCCTCCTCTCCAGTTGTAGCAACAAAAATGTCTGTAGACATTGCCAAATTGTCACCTGGGAGGCAAAATTGTACCAGTTGAAAACCAGTAGTATATTACTGTACTTAGAAGGGGAGAATAGGTCATGAAATGTCTCATTGGGGTATCTTTGGCATTCCCTGGGTGTCTTTGAAAGAATGGTAGCTGTGTGGTGTATTGTCAATGGCAAACAGAAATAGAGACTGTATGTTTTTCACTTTTTAAAATTCCTGTGCTTGCTTAGAATAAAATGGCTTTTGCACTTAACTACTTGGTTCTGTCCCAAACTGCAAAAAAAATAATGCATTCTAAATAGTATTTCAGGGGTAAAATTTCATTTTGTGGACTGACTTCAGAAGGCAAGTGGTGGTAGAAAAAGGGAACCAAGATTACAACATAAAGAGTAGCTTGTAATTAGGGGGCTGGCCCCGTGGCCGAGTGGTTAAGTTCGCCAGCTCCATTGTGGCTGCCCAGGGTTTCGCTGGTTCGGATCCTGGGTGCAGACATGGCACCGCTCATCAGGCCACGCTGAGGAGGCATCCCACATGCCACAACTAGATGGACCCACAGCTAAAACATACAACTATGTACTAGGGGGATTTGGGGAGAAAGCAGAAAGAAACAAAAAAAAGAAGATTGGCAATAGTTGTTAGCTCAGGTGCCAATCTTTAAAAAAAAAAAAGAAAACTTGGCAAATTGAAAAAAAAAGTAGCTTGTAATCAGAGTTTTTGCCCTTTGTGCTTGTATATATAGAGTACAGGTTATAATCAACTTATTTTATTCTTTATTTAAAGGGACATGAGAGATGGCTTTAGAAGAAAAGGTTTCTACTCTTCCCATTATGTGAGAGACCGGTCTCCTCATAAAAGAGACACACCGTTCTTCAGAGAATCACCTGTAGGCCGAAAGGAATCTCCACACAGCAGATCTGGCTCCAGTGTCAGTAGTAGAAGCTACTCCCCAGAAAGAAGCAAAACGTATTCTTTCCATCAATCTCAACACAGAAGTATGTATTCTTAAGACTTTTTCTTTTCTTTTTCTTTTCCAGCCTACACTGATGAGAATTTACTGAGTCAGATTGCCTTATAGATGTTGTAAGAGATATATCTTTTTAACTTTTTATTTTGAAAAATTTCAAACTTTTAGAAAAGTTTAAAGAATAGTATAATGAACATCATATGTGCGTGCACACACACACACTTTGTTGGTAACCATTTCAAGTTGCAGTTCATGTGACATTTCACTTCTGATTCTTCAGCATGGAAGAGATGTGTTTGTCATCATGTCAGAAAGTCATACCCCTCCTCTGTTTTCTCCTAGTTCCTATGCCAGTCCAACCTCTTTAATATTCTGCCAGTAGATGATCTCTCTATATATCTGAGAGTATATTTTTCATAAAAAATATCAGTGGTTTCCCCTATGTGTAAGGTATAGCTTTATAGAATTTAGAGCTAAAACTACCTTAGGTTCATTCTTTTCCAACTTCCAAAGTTTTTTCTTTAATTTGGAGTGCCTAGATGTATATGGCATGCTGTGCATGTCACCTGGGCTGAGTTGCTCAGTATGTTGGAATAAACAAAGGGAACAATTTATTTTCTAGATAAAACATTTCTGTGTTACCTTTCTAGACTCTACTACCTGCAGTGGAGCTCATTCACAAAACATTTCCTCCTGCCTTCTATATGAAGGGCACTGTTAGATAGAAAGATGTTCCTGTCACCAAGGAACTAGAATATATATGTATTTTCCCCCAACTAATGCCAGTTTTATCAATATGTAAATGTAACTTTGATACAAGAATTGATTTGTCATAAATGACATGAGCAGGTCAAGGTGAGAGAGATTCTCATTCTGGGGATTGGAAGAACATGTCATAGAGGAAATGATATTTGGGTTCATCTTTTATTTCAGGTTTCTACAAGTGGAGAAGTATCTTGTAGGTAGAAGGAATTATAAGCCAAAGTACAGAAATAAGAAGAGTCTAGGATAGTTCTTTTTCTTTCCTTTTTAACTTCCTTCCTATTAACTGGGGTTTTGTTTTTGTTTGTTTGTTTTTTCAAATAATAAGAGTTTTACTTCAGTAGCCTTTGATTCCTGCATGTTGAAAGTGATGAAGATCACTTCAGATCATCAGATTGTCTCCATTGTAGCTGTTGCTGGATTCCTGTATTTAATAAACATTTATCAATTTTCTATTTTCAGAGCTTGGTAGAGAGGGGCTTCCAAAAAACATATTTTTGGATACATGTGTATGAATGTTCATATAGGAGTTAAGAATGTCATTTGAAGATTTAAAATAAACAGTCACTTACATACATCTTATTGCCTAAAATGCCCTCAGAGTAGTTCCTGGTAACTGAACTTTATCATTGAGTTCACTGTTAACAGTTTGATATCTTCTCATTTGCTTCACTTCCTTCCTCCCTCCCTGCCCTCCTTAAGAAGATAAACAATCAGGTCCAGTGCCTACTCACATGAACAGACATAAATATCTAGAATTAGCTGGACACCTCCTAAAAACATATTTTTTTGGATGTGTATTACTTAAATCCAGACTATTAATGATTTGGTTAAGAGGAAGAAAGTATCTTTGGAAACTAATTATAAAGCCTTTTTAAAAAAATGCGAGTAAAATGGAAGCTTGAGATTCTTACTTGACAGCTTGTGGTGAAGTTATTAAGTCCCTGAAGATAGTTATTGGTGAATTAGCCTTGTTTCCTGTTTCTCCTCTGAAACAGTTTCTAGAGAGGCATCTTCTGTCTGCTTTCAGCCTGGTGGTCAGTGGCCAGCACTCTAAAATCTTGAGCTGAAATGTGGAGCAGCCACAATGTAGTGCTCCTCTCTTAGGGTGTCCAGTATACCTTCCCCATCCTTTGAGGTCTAATACCTTTAATATCTGGAGTGATGAAAAGATAAGAAAGAAAGCTGGGAGACTAAAATACAGTGTAAATTGAATGAAATAGAGCATACGACTTTGTTAATGCCCTCATATTTATTTTGAGTCATTTAGCCGTGAAAGTAAAGTTCTTTAATCAAGAAAAAAGGTTTGTTCTGGGAAAACTCTCTTTACAGGTTACTTTGAATGTTCCTTAACTATTTGGGCTGAACTATTAAAATGTTTCTCTATACTCCTTTTGTTTAAACAGTTTTCAGAGTGGTTACTTAAGATCATCTTGCAAAAAGTTAATGGAGATGTCTTGTTTTAAGCAATAAATGGAAAAAGTAATTGTTATTGTACATATTTGTGTATTTGTAATAACAGCTTTTGCTTTAAATCTAAATGTCAAAAATACTCCTGGTACCTTGTTTTTCTTCAAAAACAAACAGAGGAACAGGGTCCTTCATTTTATCAGTCACTTAAACCGGGTTGATTAGGAATAATGTATTAATTTAATTTTTGATGTAAGTTGGAGTTTTGAGAAAGATTTTAAATGTTTCTCTAAATAACAGGTAAAAATAATTTTCTTCTTATGCCCTCATTTTGCTAATTTTTTAACTTTTAATTTTTAGCTTTCTGTTTATATTTTTGAGTAATTTTACTTATTTTAATGATCACTAGTAGGTTGGCCATGGTAACTATTTAAGGTCTAATTTTTCATAATTCTTATGTGCATTTAATATGTCTTTATGTGCTTAATTATAAACCACAGAATGATTTTTACTACTTTTTCAACTCAACTGCATATTGTCCCTTTTGTGCTTATACATGCACACACGTGCACACAAGTATTTAAATTTCTTCTACTTAGTCTTTTGGGTTAGTCCTATGGAAGTTTGTACTGCTTTAGAGTACTTATCCTCCCAAATCAAACTGTTGTTCTCCTTTTATGCTGTATGTGTAAGAATTTTCTGCCTATAACTTAATTGGGCTAACCTGGCCATACTGTGACTATAACATTATTATTCGTTCATTTTTTTGTCCATATTTACATGCTAACAGTATAGGTTGTACGAGTTAACCTCATTTCCCTTCCCCTTGTTTTTTATGATATTTTTCTGGTTAAAATTGTTTTGTTATAGATACCTTGTATATTTTTACCTTAAGTTTATTTTTATTCTAATTAATCTAACCAAACATCTCCCCATTTGCCAACTCTCTCAGCTATTTATTTACTTTTTTCTCCCCTTTCTCAAATGAATCCCATTGTTTTCCTATCTTATACTTTTATTTACCTTTTTTAGGATATTAGCATTATTGGTGACACCGGAGATTACAAGTTCAGTCTTCCGTACCCATTCTTTGTTAAAGTACTTCTTGTGATGTTTACTGTATCATAATCCAGTCTTTCCATCTTTATATAGCTCATTTTTTCTAAAACAATTAAAATCTTTTCTTGCAACAGCTACCTAATGCTAGTTATTTGTCTGAGAGCCACGAAGATATTTCCTCTTTTTATGTTGTTAACCTTTTATATATTTGAAAAGTACCATCATAATCTTCATGATTATTTTTTCCAGGTTTAAATATATTTAGTTTCTTCAGATTTAAATATATTTAGTTTCTTTATTTGACATGGTTTTCAGACCTTTTGCTTTCCTAATTTTCTTTCTGTTCCTTTTAAGTTGTGAGGCTAAAAGGGAACTTTAGTTTTGTCAACCACATTGTATTACTGGCCCTTATAAGACTATAGGCAACTGAAACCTAAGCCATTTTCACATATATTACTCTTAAACAAAAGCCCTTCAGCCTGTACTTTTTTGAGATGCAATTGTTCGTGTGTAGTTAATACATTTTAAAAAATCTAGGAATGCTAAATTTTACCTAATTAACTTTGGCTTATTATTCTTTTCCATCAAGATCTTTAAATCTTGTATATATTAGCAGCAGATAAAAATAGCTTTGTTTTACCTGCATATGAAGTATGCTTTATGTGTTTTGTACTAATCATTAATAATTATGTTGAGTAGCATAAGGTCAAATATAGAAACCTCTAGAGACCTCTCTCTGGGACCTCAACCATTTATCTGCATTGTTTGCTATTATTCAACCAGTTGTGATCCCCCATCTTGTCTTCCTTTCCACTTGAGGATTTCATGGAAGACTTTGTCAGGTGCTTTGTGGAAACTCAAGTTACAAAGCATTCCTCTATCAAAACAGTGACATAAAGATTGCCTTACTTTGTTTTTGTAAATCTCTTGTGGCTCCTAGGGATGATTATGTAAGTACTTACAAAGTACCTCTTTGTTACTTCATTGGAAACATTTGCTATGGATTAATGTTAAATTTAACAGTGATGCTCATGTATTGATTAGGTTGTGTGACATTTTGGTTGAATTTTTGAAGTATCATTGCTATGGAAGATTTGCAAGTTTATTGCTTTTGTTGATCTGTATCTGTTTTTCTGTAGCTCTGACTTTGGGCCCATCCTCCCTTTATTTTCTTGGTATCAGCCATCATTAAGAATAAAAGCTATTTTAAAGAAAAACTATTATTCATCAATGTTTAATACTTTCTGAAAGCACATCTTCTAAGATAACTGAAAATGTACAAGAGTTAAAAAACTATTTTGAGAAGAGTTTATGTGAAAGACAGACTACATTATTGAGCTTCAGTGTAATGGGAAAAGACACGTCTTCAGACCTGTTGGCTGTGCATAAATTTGGAGGTCCACATAAATTTTTGGATTATAACTGAAATTCCCATAAAATTTGGGGATTTAATTCTGCCCTTAGAAAGAAGGCCTTTCTGTGCAGGTTTAGAGTGGTATTGGAGATATGGAAATAAGGCTTTAACATCAAATCCTGTCTATTAGGCAGCAGGAAGGGAGGATAAACCTATTCTCATAGCAGCTGAATATCATAGTGTTTCTTGGTTTGAAAGTCACTGTACTTATGTTCAATACTCATACAGTGTTCAGTAAAAATGTATTTCACGTAAATGGTTTGCCAAGCAAGACAGACCCAGTCTTTGCCCTCTGAGTTTATGACCTAGTGAGGGAGGCAAACAAGTCAGTGCACAGGAATAAACATTTTAGGTGATATCTGAAGGCTGGGTAGAAGTTGGTGGAACGATGCAAGTGGAGAAGGGTTATTGAGATGAGCTGTACTGTGAGCTGTGCTTGAAGAGTAAGTTAGTATTTTCCTGGAAGATCTTGTACTTTTACCTGATCCAGGCTATCAGTGTGCTGTTGAATTAGATTCTACAATACATTCTTCTTGTTTGAGAATCCATTGTTTACTCACAAGAGACTTTGGCTGTGAGTTCCCTGGGTGAATTCTAGGAGTACAGCTGTAGTTTTTCTGGCATCTGAGTGATCAAGGATCTAAAACAGTAATCAATTAATAATGTTTCCATATGGGTAGGCATTTATAGCATCCTTCTTTTAGGACTTAGTATGATATGTCAGTTGTACACATTCATAGTAGGTGCAGATGGTGTCATGTTTTGTTTATATTTTTAAAGGTGCTCTCGTGGGTTTAGCTGATGTGTTAAAGGAGAGTTCTATTGAGAAGTGTCCTTCCAAGTATTCATAGTTAATACACCTTTGCTTTAACTTGTTGCATATCTAACCTCCTAAAGGTGACTATTTTGGGGAAGCAGAGATGGTGCAAAGCTTTCTCTATCCCTCTATATGGTTGGGGGTTTTTTTCCTGTTGGTTTTTGGTGTCATTACCGCAAGAACATTTGTCTTGCATCTCTCCGTTTTCTATTTCATATCTTCTTGACTAAACCAGTAGATCTCTGGGAAATCATGTTCTTCTGAACCAAGAGCCCCAAATTTGCATATCTTCATCCATGATCCAGAAACATAAATCATTTCCTTAGCATCTTTGTAGGCACCACATCTTTATTTATTCATATCTAAATTTCTCTTTCAAAGATTCAGCTATCAAAGGAGAGATGAATGTACTACCTGTGCTGTGAAGTTTGTTTTGTTGATAAGACTTTCATTCAGAGGTGTCTGTTTTGTTCCTGTCCATTAGGCACTGTACCAAGAATTTAATAGTTTGCAAGACATAGCCCCTAACTTTATCATCTCTAATGGTGATTTTAATTTTTTTTCCCCTAGTAATGTCTTTTGTTTCTACATGGGTTATCAATAATTAATAACACATGATAAGATTGGATGAGTCTGGCTAGGTTCATCATTGCTTTCATCAGAAAAATGTCAGGAAGAAAGTGTATTTCTGAAAGATCGTATCAGATTTACAATTATATTCAAAGCATCATCAAATATTGTTAGTATTTGTATTCATATCAGCTATTATAAAGCGTACCAAATATTGTTAAATTGTTACAGAACTTCTAAATGTTTGTTGAAACATTAAGCTGCTTCTCTGGCTTTGATTTCACCTGCCTGGGAAGAACTTTTTACCTGACCTATGGAACCAGTATTTGAAATTCCCCTCCATATTCTTCCTCCCCATTTATTCTTTCATTCACCAATATATTGATTTGGATTTTGATTTCCATGCTGTCACCTTCAGAATTTTCCTTTCCTAGTTTCTTTCCTTCATCCTAATTTGGAACTCCTCTTCTTTAGCAAGTCACAGCAAAGATGGGAATGTGTTGAGCCTTTTTGTCCTGCTTTCAAGCAGGGAGTTAGTGTCTGCTTACTAAGATCATGTGTGAGCTGAATTTGAGGTAATGGCTAAATAGCCGAGGAGGAGCATTCTGTCAGTTAGAAATATAGACACGTGAGTGAAAGTGGATTTGAGAGACATTTCTATTCATAGTGTTGGTCGTTGCCACCTAAGAATAGCAGAGCAAAAAGGATTGAGCTTAGGACGAACACTTAGATTTAAGGAACAACCACCAACGAAGACGAAGAGAAAGATGTAGTTAGGAAGATGGAGGAGGACAAATACGGAAGTACAAAGGCGTGAAAATCAGCTGGCAAAATACTAAGAAAAACCTGTGTATAAATTGTTAAAATGCTGTCATGAAGGAAAAGAAGAAAGACCTTTAGTTTTAAAATAAACAGATCATTGGAAACTCTGGGTGAAGAGTTTAAGTAAGTGGAGTTGTTTCTGTTATCTCTTGCTGTATTAAAAAAAATACTGTAAAACTTAGTGGATTAAAACAACCACTTATTTGTTTCAGCTGGATGGTTTTACTAGTCTGTTAGGATATTATTAAATAGCCCAGGCCTGTTTAAGGCAACATAGATAGGAATCTGTAATTAAATGTGGAAATTTCTACAATGTCTGTGAAATTTGGAATCAAAATCAATAAACAGGGGCCGGCCCGGTGGCACAGCAGTTAAGTGCACACGTTCCGCTTCTCAGCGGCCCGGGGTTCGCCGGTTTGGATCCTGGGTGCGGACATGGCACTGCTTGGCACGCCATGCTGTGGTAGGCGTCCCACATATAAAGTAGAGGAAGATGGGCATGGATGTTAGCTCAGGGGCCAGGCTTCCTCAGCAAAAAGAGCGGGACTGGCAGTAGTTAGCTCAGGGCTAATCTTCCTCGAAAAAAACAAAAAATCAATAAACACAGCAGCAGTGTTGTGTGAGTAAACTGACTCTTCAGGGGAAGAACACCTGACTTGTGACATTTGCCAATATCCATGGAGTGAATATTACCACCATGACTGATTTCAGGCTACTGATGTGGAGTCACTTAGAGTTGGGAAGAGACGTGGACAGTCCACGCTCACCAGCTAATATGAGCCAGCCCCCAGACTCCAGACACTCTTGTAAAATATAACTGTCCTAATCTCTTGATCTATGAAGAATTTGAGGCAGACTTACAAAATAACCACTTAATAAAACAGGATTAAGTAAATGGATGAAGAATTTTGTGTAGAAGGGAAATAAGGATATGAAAATAAAAGTAAGAATAAAGTTAGTAATATATGAAATAAATGCCTATTATAAGGCTCTCAACAGTTGCTATAGGTGAACTAAGAATTTTCCCAAAACAAGAGAAAATGAGCAATAATAGTGTTCACGGTATACTGTAGATAAAAACAAATCAGCTGCTCAGGAGGAACTAAAGTTTTCCTAATGACAGAGAGATCAGTGAACAATGAAAGGAGGATACTGCATCTTCAACAACATTCTTAGAAAAGTAGGATACCAATATTTATGTGACATTTCTTGAAACATGTTTTTCATTCAGGATGCTGACAGTGTCAAAACAATTCAGAAAATGTGTGTTTTCTCAGAAAAAAAGGTAAAAGTGGCAATCTGGAAGCTATAATAGAAGAGTTTGAAATAAATGTTAAGTTTGTTTCTTATTGGAAAGATATCTGGGAGCTCCTACTTGTATATTTAGGCTCTTTAGAAAGCTGATTATATGTGCATCATTAAGAGTTTGCAGGTGAGGAAGCTAACAACATATTTACAAGATTTTAAATATGGAATAATTAGGGGTTCAACCAAGACAGTAACTGTGGATTTGTTTGTAAAGAAAATCATTTACAGTTATGTGTTGCTTAAAGAAAGGGTTATGTTCTGAGAAATGCATTGTTAGGTGATTTCATCATTGTATGAACATCCTAGAATGTGCTTATACAAACCTAGGTGGTATAGCCTACTATATACCTAGGCTATGTGGTACTAGTCTTAAAGGACCACCATGGTATGTGGGGTCTGTTGTTGACTGAAGCGTCATTAGGCAGTGCATGAGTGTGTGAGAAAGTTTGTATAAAAAGAATAGCAAGGGGCCAGCCCCGTGGCTGAGTGGTTAAGTTTGCATGCTCTGCTTCGGGGGCCCAGGGTTTCGCCAGTTCGAATCCTGGGCACAGACATGGCACCCCTCATCAAACCATGCTGAGACGGCATCCCACATGCCACAACCAGAAGGACCCACAACTAAAAAATACACAACTATGTACTGGGTGGCTTTGGGAGAAAAAGGAAAAGTAAAATCTTTAAAAAGAATAGCAAGATTTAGTAATAGGCTACTTGTTGAGAGCAAGTCAAAATGACTCCTTGCAGATAACCATTGTAAGCTCAGGGAACTGATATGATATATGAAAACCTTCGCAGTGTTCTTTTTGACTTCTAAAGGTGATTTATCTTTCACTCTTGATTTTTTGGTGTCATTCTTTAACCAATCCTTTCAATGTCAACTTGAGAGATTAGGTGCTTAGAATGATGAGTAAGACAGGATCCCCATCTTCAACTTTTGGCATCTTATCCTTTTCTCATTCCTTTCTGCCTATGCTATCCTTGGTTAGCGTCGTCTTCATACTTCATTGTTCTTGGACCCAATTACCTTCTGATCTGAAACAGAGATTTTCTTCTGTTCTGTTATTTATTCCTCTTGAGTGGTGGTTGCTCAGGCAGCCCAACTTGAAGGCAGGATAGGAAAGAGGTTAGGGTTACCAGCAAATGCTCAGAAGTTCCTGTTCTCATCACTCCTACTTCTGGGTTCTTCTCTTGTTCCTCCTGGGCACAGAGGTGCTGGTGTTAATTCCTCCCTGCCCACCTTTCCCTAGAGTCCGTGCGTGCTGGTGCCTCCTACAAACGGCAGAATCAAGGAAAGCCAGAAAGAGGTGAGTTTTGAGCTAGATTTTGATTTGGGATTGTGAAGGGGTGGGGGGCTTGAATTGGTAGAGGTTATAGAAATGGGAGAAGTGTATAACTGCTCCATCATTCTACTGTCGGAACCAGAGTCGACCAGCAGTAGACTCAGAAAGTAGGATTTGGGGGGATATATGGGTTGGTTGTCTGGGCTAGCCATTCTTGGTCAGGAACAGCCACCTCATCGGAGATTGAGATCCATAGAATAGACAAGTCAGTGGCAGATAGGACCTGACAACAGTAGGGTCAGGGGATTTCTATTTGCCTTTTCTGTGCTCTTTCTGCTGCCATCTGTATCATCCCTTTTCCTTATCTTTTGCTTCTTGCCTGCCCTTCCACTTCATGCCACAGGTATATATGAATATATGTGGATATATCATAAACCACCTGCCCTACCCTTCAGTGTTCCTTCGCTTCTGCACTCTGAGATTGGTTGAAATCAGCTTAAAATAGCCCTATGCAGCTAAATTCAGGGAAGATCCCAAGTCTGCACTTGGGCATCATACTTGGCATACCTGTAGTGCTGGTGTCTTGTTTGTGAAGGAAATGCTATGTAAGAGATTAACAGCTGCTTATGGAAGATTTTTTTCTGTGTCTAGCTGCTACGTGCCAAAATTGAGCCTATAATTATGCCTTTAATTAGGATAGTGTGCTGTGCTGATTGGTCCAGCTGCTTATCTTCTTTTAAGGAATTGCATATCAGAATAGGATGGGGAGGTCATTATTGCATCCTAAGGGTAGAAAAATACTTCATCTTTTCATGTAATTTTTGAGTGCCTACTCTTTTCTTAAAGGAATCAAGCTAGTTGGTCCTGGATATTCAGAAATAAATAAGCTGTGATACTTGTTCCTCTAGGAGTTTTGGTGCAGTGGGATAAATTGACACTGTCACAGTACGATGTGGAATTTGCCATATGCAATGGAAATACAGCAGGGAATGACTAAATAAACCATGCTCTTAGTCATTTGGGGACATAGTGATGGTTGGTATCATTTTACTTTTGATTTTTAAGGTCTGCAGGAACTTTTAAGCTTGATTAGTGTGAAAGCCTCTTAATGATACCACAAAGTAAAGGATTCTAGGGGCCAGCCCCATGGCCTAGTGGTTAAGTTTGGTGCACTCCACTTCAGTAGCCTGGGTTTAGTTCCTAGACACGGACCTACACCACTTGTCAGTGGCCATGCTGTGGTGGTGACCCACTTACAAAATAGAGGAAGATAGGCAACAGATGTTAGCTCAGGGTGAATCTTCCTCAGCAAAAAAAGAAAAAAAAAAAAAAGGAGGTTCTGGGAGTATGTCTGTTTTGAGACTGTTGGAACTTCAGAGTTGGAATAGTGTGCCTAGAGCAGTTCTCCACCTTGGCACTATTGACATTTGAGGCTGTATAATTCTTTGCTGTGGAAGGCTGTCCTTTGCATCTGTAGGATGTTTGGCAGCATCCCTAGCCTCTACTTACTATGTGCCAGTGGCACTCTCCCACTTGTAGCAATCAAAAATATCTTCACACTTTGCTGAATGTCCCTGGGGAGGGTGGGGCTGGGGTGTCCTGAGAAAACCTTTGTGAGTCTGCAGACATTGGAAAAAGATGTTACTCACTACTGCCCTAGGTGGTTGGAAGCCTTTGAGCCTGCAGGCCCTTACTTAGCTATCTCGATCATAGCAGGAAGAGCTTAAGAGGCTTTTTGACTGAAGCTGGCTTTGCCTCAGTTTCAAGATTGTTTTGTCTCTGCTTTTGCTGTTGACTGCTTTCCTGGCCTTAACCCGCTGTTCAGTCATAACCAGCTTCTGTGTCCCTCTAAACTTGGTGCCACTTTCTCCTCTGTAATTGTCAGTTTTCCTAGCAATTAAGAGCAGAGGATTTATGTTATATTTGACACATATAGACAGTTTAATAAAATGTTTTTCTATCAGTAACAGCTTGCTATTATTTAAATAAACCCATTTTTTTGTTGTTGTTGAACTGGCTATGGTAATATTTAAATGTGTTTTCTGGCTTAAGTTTCTATAAAAACAATGGTATACATAGAGTACTATGTGAGTGTCTGAAGTGACTAAAGATAAAGGTTAGTGACTTTAGCTCATACAGATTTATTTTTAACCATTTAACAAATATTTGGGTACTCATTCATACCAAGCACTGGATTAGTGCTCTAGGTTATAGTGTTCTAGTTTTTATTTTTATTTTTTAAACTATCTCAACATTTCAGGGATACCTACTAAAATTTGTACATGCCTCTCTCTTTGAGCTACCGCTTAATTAACTAGTTCTCTTTGGTGGTATCTATATAATAACCACCCTCGGGTTTTTATTGTGATTTATTAAAAATTAACTTTTGGGAACTTCGAGGAGGAAGTATTTATGATTTTAAAATGTTTTTTTCCTTTCTTGAGGCCTTCTCAGTGGTCCTGTGCTTGTTAAGTGGCATTGATATGGCCTAGATTGCCGTATATGATGTCCATTGGTTCTAGTTTATTTGAGATTTGTGATGGTGCCCAGCCTCTGAGAGAGATGGGTGGATTTAAAAATTAACAGATTTAATTTAATAATGTAATGAAGACTTCAGTGCTAAAATGAATGTACCAACCCCCCCATTTATTCAATTACAAAGTTATTCTAATTGAAAACAAACAAGCTAGAAAATTGCATTTCATATTTTCTCATATAGGTAAAGAGAGACCTGTTCAGTCTTTGAAAACATCAAGAGACACTTCACCCTCAAGTTCTTCAGCAGTTCCTTCATCAAAGGTTTGTTATATTTCTAAAATCAACTTAAAGAGGAATTAAAAAGTAAATGAGATAGACTATCACAAATGCTTGTATTCTTTACTGTCATACCTAATGTAGGGGGATGTAATTTGCCGCATTTAAAAACTTGAATTTTAAGTAACTACAACTTGAAAGTAACTACCAGAGAAAATGAGCAGTTTTCTCATAGAACTTTTTCCACAGGTTATGCTAAAATTAGTACGTACTATGGTCTTGGCTCATCTTGACCGTAACCAGTTGGCAATGAATATTCAGATGGGGCATAGGCTGTGCTTTTATTTTGGAAGTGGGGGTTTAGGCAGAAACCTAACATTTGTTGTATAATAACTTGATTCCGGATACTATATTAAGTATTTTCTTCTCTTATTAATTCATACAGAAATCCTATGATATAAGTAGAAGTTAAATAATTTTCTCAAATTATTTCACTAGTGAATTCTTCCAGAAATTTAAAGAATACCAGTACTTCTCAACCTCTTCCAAAAAATAGAAGAGGAGGCAATACTTCTAAACTCATTTTATGAGGCCAGCATTACCTTGATACCAAAACCAGATAAGGACACTACAAGAAAAGAAAATTACAAGCCAATATCCTGGATTAACATGGATGCAAAAATCCTCAACAAAATATTAGTAAACCAAATTCAACAGCACGTTAAAAGGATCATACACCATGATCAAGTGAGATTTATTCTAGGGATGCAAGGATGGCTCAGCTTCCACAAATCAATCAATGTGATACACCACATTAGCAAAACGAAGGATAAAAATCCTATGATCATCTCAATAGATGCAGAAAAAGCATTTGACAAAATTCAATATCCGTTCATGATAAAAAACTCTGAACAAACTAGGTATAGAGGGAATGTACCTCAACATAATAAAGCCTATATATGACAGCCCACAGCTAACATCATACCCAACAGTGAAAAGCTGAAAGCTTTTCCTCTAAGATTAGGAACAAGACAAGGGTGGCTACTCTCCCCACTTTTAATCAACGTAGTACTGGAAGTCCTAGCCAGAGCAGTGAGGCAAGAAAAAGAAAGAAAATGCATCCAAATTGGAAACGAAGAAGTGAAACTCTGTTTTTAGATGACGTGATATATATGGAAAACCCTAAACACTTCACCAAAAAAACTGTTAGAACTAATAACATAGGAGCCGGCCCCGTGGCCTAGTGGTTAAGTTTGTGCGCTCTGCTTTGGTGTCCCACGGTTTGCCGGTTTGGATCCTGGGTGTGGACCTGCACACCGCTCATCAAGCCATGCTGTGGTGGCATCCCACGTGGAAGAACTAGAGTGACCATCAGCGAGGATATATATGTGCTGTGGCTTTGGGGAGGAAAAAAAAAGAGGAAGATTGGCAACAGGTGGTAGCTCAGAGCCAATCCTTCTCACCAAAAAAAACCAGAAAACAAAAAAACTTAAAATGCAAATTCAGTAAAGTTGCAAGATACAAAATCAATATACAAAAGTCAGTTGCATTTTATACACTAATAACAAACTATCAGAAACAGAAATTAAGAAAACAATCCCATTTGCAAGAGCATCAAAAAGAATGAAATACTTAGGAATAAATTTAACCAAGGAGGCAAATGATCTGTACACTGAAAACTGTAAGACATTGATGAAGGAAATTGAAGAAGACACATAAATGGAAAGATATTTTGTGTTCATGGATTGGAAGAATTAATGTTGTTAAAATGCCTACACTACCCAAAGCACTCTACAGATTCAATGCAATTCCTATCAAAGTTTCAATGTAATTTTTCACAGAAATAGAAAAAAAAATCCTAAAATTTGTATGGAATCGCAAAAGACCTTGAGTAGCCAAATCAATCTTGAGAAAGAAGAACAAAGCTGAAGACATCACACTTCCTGATTTCAAAATTTATTACACAGCTATAGTAATCAAACCAGTATGGAATTGGCATAAAAGCAAACACATAGATCAATGGAACAGAATAGAGAGCTCAGAACAACCTCCTGCATATATGGTAAATTAATTTACAAATGAAAAAACCAGGAATATACAATGGGGAGGGGACAGTCTCTTCAATAAATGCTGTTGGGAAAACTGGATAGCCACATAAAAAGGAATGAAACTGGACCCCTATTTTACACGACATACGAAAATCCACTCCAAGTATATTAAAGACTTGAACGTAAGATGTGAAACAATAGAAGTCTTAGAAGAAAACAGTTGGTAAGCTCCTTGATGTCATTCTGGGCAATGATACTTTGGATTTGACACCAAAAGCAAAGGCAACCAAAGCAAAAGTAAACAAGTGGAACTTCATTGAATTAAAAAGTTTCTGCACAGCAAAGGAAACCATCAACAAAATGAAGAAGTATCCTATGGAATTGGAGAAGATGTTTGCAAATCATATATCTGATAAGGGGCTAATATCCAAGATATGCAAAGAACCCATACATCTCAATAGTAAAAAACTAAAAAATTTGATTAAAAAATGGGCAGAGAAACTGAAGACATTTTTCCAAAGAAGAGATACAAATGGCCAACAGGTACATGAAAAGGTGCTCAACATCACTAATCATCAGGGAAATGCAAATCAGAACCACAATGAGATATCACCTCATACCTGTTGGAAAGAGTGTCATCAAAAAGATGAGATAACAAGTGTTGGTGAGGGTGTAGAGGAAAGGGAGCCCTGTACTGTTAGTGGGAATGGAAGTTGGTGCAGCCACAAAGGAAAACAGTATGGAAGTTTCCTCAAAAAATTAAAAATAGCACTATATGCTCCAGCAAACCACTTCTGAGTAGATTTCCAAAGGAAATCAAAACAGGATTTTGAAGAGATTTCTACACTTCTATGTTCATTGCAGCATTATTTGTGATAGCCAAGACATGAAGATAACCTACGTGTCCCTCAGTCGATGAATGGATAAGGAAGATATGGTATACAACAATGGAATATTATTCCTGTGAGAAAGAAGGACATCCAGCCATTTGCAACAATATGGTTGGAACCTGAGGGTGTTATGCTAAGTGAAATAAGTCAGGCAGAGAAAGACAAGTACTGTATGATCTTGCTTATATGTGGAATCTAAAAATTCTGTGAATTTCTGAATTCACAGAAACAGAGACGAGAAGGCTGGTTACCAGGGGCTGATGGGTGAGGGAAAAGGGGAGATGTTAGTCAGAGATTGCAAACTTCCAGCTATAATATGAACAGGTTTTGGAGATGCAATTGATAGCATAGTGATTATAGTTAATAGTACTGTATTTTATACTTGGAATTTGATAAGAGATCTTAAATGTTTTCCCCACAAGAAAGAAATGGTAATTATGTGATGTGATGCAGGTGTTAGCTAACCCTATGGTTGTAATTATTTTGCAATTTAAAAAAAAAAGTAGGTGTATACATTTTATAGAAAAGGCTCAGAAGTTAAATAATTTTCTCAAGGACGGAGCTACTCTTCACTGCATCGTTCTCATTCTTACCCTCCTGGCCTCCCAAAACATGTTGAAAAGATGATCTATGGTTCTAATCCTCAAAACTTCAAATTTTTCAGTGTTGCTGTTTCCATCTGTTCTCTGCGCTTAGAGGTTCTTTTCACCGACCTCACACTCTCTCTCTATGTGTAACGTTGTTACTTGTATTCTCTTTCTTCACTTCTTTTTGTTTTTCCCTCTGTGGTATGTTTGGCTTTTCAGCAAAAGCAGACATCACCTGGCAGGCTGGTGTTCAGGGGCCGGCTGCTTCCCTACCTCAAAGAAATAAAGAAGGTGTTTTTGTGACAACTTGTGTCTTTAGAGCTTTCTTGGAAGTCTGAGGATTTTCGAATGCTGGGTTTTGAGTATGAAAGATTGATTGGTTTTTTTGGTTCTGTCTTACCATATCAATGGTTCCTTACCCAGCTGAGAGATTGGCTTGTTCTTCTTGTTGGGTAGAAATGAAAGAAAAGTAAATAGTACTTGCCCATCCAAGTCACTCTGAATATTTAAATTATGATATGTGAAGTTTTCATTTACCTGAACTATAATGCAATGTAAATATGAGTTATCACGTAGGACTTTGTGGTACATGTTAAAACATATTTAGTGGGGAACAACCATAATGGATTTTAGATATTTTCCTCTGACAGTTTACATAGATGTTTGCATTTTTGTCCAAAAATGGAATGAGAATTCCAGAATTTTAGATGTATAATCATTTTATATATTGGGTAAGTGCAGCCTCCTGTGTCCTTTTTGCGGGGTTACGTGATAGCTGTGGGGAGCTTTATTACCTAGATTTCCTAATTTGGTGGAGGACTTTTTCTTTTAAACGTTATGGCTGCCCTCATGTACGAATAATTTTTCGGAGTTTATTTTCTGCTGTTACAGGTTAGTTTCAAATGAGAATTTTTCAAGTGTGCAGATTTAATGACAGATGAATAGAAGGATTCAGTTATAGAAGATTTGACTTCTTTACTGGAAATAACTTATGATGTTTTGTTTTGCTCTATAACTTTCCTTTCAAAACAGATACAAAGAAAAGTGGAGTATAAATTTTTTTTCTTGGAATATCCATGTATATGTGTGTCCTTTTTTTTTTAAAACTGTTTAATCTTATTATTAAATAATAATAAAGGTATTACTTGTACGTTTGTAACCTTATGAATGGGTACGGCTTCAGAGTAAGATAGGCTTCCTCAATGACTGGAAACATTCCATGTAAATACATTGTTATTATTTTAGTAAATGTTATGGATGGCAAGCCAGTAGTTTGGTAAATTGAATAAGCTATGGAGGGAGGTCAAGGGCCTTTTTCATCTGGAACACCTAGTTTTCAGTTCCAGCTCAGCATTTATAGTTGGGCTAATGAAGTCTGCCCAAACACCTTCATGGAATTCGATTTATTTAAAATACTTTTTTTTTGGTTTGTGTGTAAAAGCACTTTATAAATGGTAGTGTGTCATGACATGGGAATTTTTACTTATACTGTCATCCATAGAAGATATATTTGGAATCAATGATGTGAGTTTCGAGGTGGTGACAAAATTCAGGGTAAAGGGCCAGAGTTTTGAAAATGTATGCTAACGAAATAGAGTGGAATCCAAGAGTTACCATAAAGGCCTAAGGAAATAATTTTTCTAATTTTTGCCTTACAAATTTTACATCTTATTCTATGACACAGGTCTAAACAGTATTGTGGGAATCATCTGTGATCTAGAAAAAAACATTTTCTTCCTTTTTATATTGACCCCATGAACTGATTGATCTATGTTTTAGTATAACAGATTTATAGCAATCAATATGGAAAAGAAAGAAAAGCTAAAGTACCAAGCATTATGCTAGCTGTTTTCAGGTCTGTTACCTCTCTTGATTCTCAGAATTACTTTGTAAAACAGTGAATATTATTAAGCCTTATTTTGTGAATGAGGAAACCAAGGCTCACAGTATCATAAATTATGTGTGATCATCTACCCAGCAAGTGCAGCCACTTCCATTCAAACCCAGTTCTGTCTGTAAGTCCAAATCCCACACCTTGTTTAGTGTTGCATGTGGTTGAAGAAGGGAAGTAGTAGTAGAGATCACGAAATGAGATTTAAATGTATAAATTTTGTATAAAGAGTAGGAATTGTATAAATTATTATGAATTATAAAAATAGCATATCTGGACTTTTCTCTTGCTTTAATTAGAAATTTACCTTGATGAAATTTTGACATTTATTTCATTAAATATGATTCAGGATAGAAAGTTGAAATAAGTGTGATGTCTCATATATTCTAAATACTTTTAGTATATTGACAGTGTCTTGTTTTGTTCCCTAAATGAATTTCTGAAGGTTATGTAAATGAATTTGAGTCAGTCTAGTCTATATGTCCCAAAGGAATTGCTTCTTAAAGAAATTCTATGTTTAATATTTTTGAAAAAGCAAATAAAGAATGTTCTTGTTCTCTATATAAATGTGAAGGCTTATATGATTTTAACTGTATGTGGGGTATACTTCTTGATGTATTTGAAGTTTAAAAGCCCCTGAGAATTGTAACAGAGCTAGTCTTTTGTTTTTATTAGGTGTTAGACAAACCCAGTAGGCTAACTGAAAAGGAACTTGCTGAGGCTGCAAGCAAGTGGGCTGCTGAAAAGCTAGAGAAGGCGGATGAGAGTAACTTACCTGAAATTTCTGAGTATGAGGTAAGGCATAATTTCTCCTTTATGTTTCACGTCTGAGAGCTTTGTCTGGATTTTAAATTATGGATGGAAAAATGTGGTTTATTCTAGTATTTTAAAATATGTTTGGGGAAAATGTCCTCATAGATTATTAAAATTTACCACACACAGTAATAGTATGAATATGAATGACTCTGAACTCGATAATTATACTGTGTGTGAATATCTCTGATAGTTTAGATGTGTAAGAATAGTATAAATATGAAATATAAGGAAAATATATTATTTAAATGCTGCTTTTATGGGCCTTGCTGTTGAAAGTGTCTCTGGAAATCATGCTAAGCCACTGTTCATAAACCAGTGAATTCAGAAAAAAATCTAATTAGACCTTGGATCTTGAGCTATATTTATAGTGTGTGTTATACTCTGTGCAAATGATCTCATAAATATCCCAAGAAATGAAATCATGCATTGTTTAGGCTACCTGTGACCTTTGATGCGTCTTGAGTACCGAAAAATTAGAGCATTTTAGGGTTCATAAGATACTATTTATGAAATGTTTGTATTAAAATATTTGAAAATGAACTGAAAAATTCCTCTATCACTTATAGCATCTCGAATGGGAAATACAGACATTTCATGGGTAAAATTAAGCTTTTAGATTCAGGATTTGGTACTAGAGGAATCACTTTGACATGATAGGCAGAGAGTATTAAAATCTTCTGGCTTTTTAATATATTGTTGGATGACTTTTATGGAAGATCCTTTGACAAAAGAGATCAAGCGTTGGAATTAGACGTGCAAATTATATACGTATATACATCTTCATACACTATGAAAAGATCCTTTGCAAAGTAGCTAATGTACACTGCTCACAGAAAGTACAAACCAGTACAGACCTTATCAGTACTTATGCAAATAGAGCTTTTCTTTTTTAAAATGCTGATGTGTCATTTAGATATCAGTTGTTCTTAAATAGGTCTAGATTTCCTTGTTATTATAGCTATAATAGTAGATAGAGATTTATGCATATTCTCAAGTAAATGTATCAAAAACATCAAGCTGTCCCTCTTTGGCACTTTCCCAGCAGTATTTAAAAGCATGAACAATGCAGTAATACATTTAATAGGGTCATTTTGCCTATTTTCTTTAATAATTTAGAATAATGGTTTTTATATTAATAATAGATATGTTTTTTAATTTATTCTTTATTATGAATATTTTATAGTAATATAATTTATATAAATTATATAAATAATTTATATAATTATTTTATATTAATAATAGATATCAAAAATTGCTGTTTTGGGGGCTGACCAGATAGCACAGTAGTTAAGTTCTGATGTTCCGCTTCGGCAGCCCTGGGTTCACCAGTTCAGATCTCAGGTGCAGACCTACACACTGCTTGTTGAGCCATGCTGTGGCAGGCGTTCCACATATAAAGTAGAGGAAGGTGGACACAGATGTTAGCTCAGGGCCAGTCTTTCTCAGCAAAAAGAGAAGGATTGGCAGCAGATGTTAGCTCAGGGCTAATCTTCCTCAAAAAAAAAAAAAAAATTCCTGTTTTGGAGAACTGATAATTTTTCTTAGAGTACTTAAAACCAAAACCTCCAAAAATACTACTTTATTGTTTGCTAAATACTTTATCTGCAGTTAGCAAGGCTTTGTTAAGATATATTCATCCTCTCCCCATAATTTTTTGTATCTCTTTATTAAAAAAAACCTCACTATCTGCCTTTCCCCGATTTTAAATATTCTACTTACATTCTTTTATCATCGTTTAACTGCATCTTGACTCTGAGTAGTCAGTGACATTGGAGCTACAAAAACTTTTTTTTAACCTCCTTATTTTTTCTCTAAAATATGCCCAGAATTTGCTAGATTTTGAATTAATGAGAAGTAAATAATCTTAAAAATCTGTCAGTGAGGTCATAGGTGAGACATGATCTTTTGTTGGAGCAAAGGCATGGTGAGTGGGAGTGGGAGTGAGATTACTTCAGTATGTTTGTTACCTGGTGTACATCATTAATGTTGAGCAGCAGCATGAGCAGTGTTCTGCATTAGAGACACCAGCATAACTGTCAAGGAGCTTGCAGTCATGTTTTGTAGAGATAACTTACTATCCTTCAACAAATGGCTGTGAGAGTTTTGCTTTTGGCTATCAGAATGAAAAGCAAATTATTTGAAGGCTTTTGGAATGTCCCAGTAGAACAGGTTGCTTCTTGCTGTAGAGGAAAATTTTAACGTGTTTCTTATTTAAATGTGAAATACGTTATATCCACATATAAGATGTCATTTTCTGCTTCAGTGTCTCCACTTACTCTGTCCCCAGTGAAGAATGCCCATCTTCCATGAACCTCTTTCAAATTCATATTCATTCGGTGGCATCAATAGTGTTTGAGAAAATAAAATTCAAGATCTTTCTTGATTTCTCTTTCCTCCCCTTCCTATTGTAAAATTTAAGCCTGCTTTGTTTTTCTCTGATGGCTTTATATTGCCTTTATTAAAAATTTTTTTTCTTACTAGTTTTATATATATATATAGAATGTATCTCAAGCACTTATCTTGTTTTCCCTCCAGTACTTTGGATAATATATATCTAACTAACTAAACTAAATTTAATTACTAAGTTCTTTTTTCCAGTTTTATTGAGATATAATTGACATACAGCACTGTATAAGTTTAATGTGTACAAGATAATAATGACGTGACTTAGATATATTATGAAATGATTACCACAAAAAGTTTAGTTAACATCCATCATCTCAAAGATACACAGAATGATGTTCTGTCATTAGGTGCATAAATGTTTATAATTGTTATAGCGTCTTGCTATATTGAACCTGTTATTAATATATAATGTCCTTGTCTAATAACCTTTTTTGATTGAAAGTCTGTTTTGTCTGATAGTATTGTAGCCACCCTTGCTCCCTTTTGGTTACTGTTTGCACAAAATATCTTTTTCCATCTTTTCACTTTCAACCTATTTCTGTCTTTGGGTCTCAAGTGAGTCTCTTGTCCTCAGCATATAGTTGGATCATATGTTTCTATTCATTTTGCCAGGCTCTGTCTTTTAACTGGAGAATTTGTAATTACTGAGAAAGGGAGACTTACTTCTCTCATTGTGCTATTTGTTTGTGTGTTTGCTACATGCCCTATAGCTTTTTTGTGCCTCATTTCCTGCATTTCTGTCTTCTTTTGTTTAGTTGATTTTTTTCCACTTAAGTGTTTAAATTCTTTCTTTTTGTATATCCTATAGCTAGTTTGTGATTAGCTTGGAGATTACATTTAACATCCTAAAGTTATGACACTAATTTGAATTTATGCCAGCTTAACTTAAATATCATATAAAAACTCTGCTCCTTTACTGCTGTGTCTCCACCCCTTTTGGTTGTTGATTTTACAAAATTACGTGTTTATATATTGTGTGCCCCAAAACATAAACTAACAATTATTTTAAATGCGTTAGTCTCTTAAATTATCTAGAAAACAAGATTTGGAGTTACAAAACAACCTTATAGTAATACTGGTTTTTACACTAAGAATTTGTTTTCTTTAAATGTAAGTCTCTTAAATCATGTAGAAAACAAAAAGTGCAGTTGCAAACTGTTGTTACAGTAATACTAGCTTTTGTAATTGCCCATGCGTTTACCTTTATTGAGATCTTTATTTCTACAGATGGCTTCAGATTACTGTCTAGTGTCCATTTATCTCACCTTGGAAGATTTTCTTGAGCATTTCTTGTGTGGCAAATCTAGTAATCATGAACTCTCTCAGCTTTTGTTTATCTGGAAATGTCTTAATTTCTCCCTCCCTTTTGAAGGACAGTTTTGGTGGATATAGGATTCTTGGCTGACAGTTGTTTTTGTTTTTAAGCACTTTGAACATTTGAGTCCGTTGTCTTCTGGCCTCCAAAAATTTTCAATGGGAAATCTGCTTAATCTTAGTGAGAATCCCTTCTCTGTGATGATTTCACTTCTCACTGCTTTCAAGATTCTCTTTGCCTTTTGAGAGTTTGATTATAATATGTCTTGTTGTGAGTCTCTTTGAGTTCATCTTACTTGGGGTTTGTTGAGCTTCTTGGATGTTTGTATTCAGGTCTTTTATCAAATTTGAAAATTTCTTCAAATATCTCTCTGCGCCTTTCTCTCTCTCTTCTCCTTCTGGGACTCCCACAATATGTATGTTGGTTCCATTAATGATGTCCCACAGGTCCTTTAGGCTCTGTTCACTTTTCTTCGGTGTTTTTTCTTTTTCTTTCTTTTTTTTTTTTGCTGAGGGAGATTCACCCTGAGCTAACATCCACTGCCAATCTTCCCCTTTTTGTATGTGAGCCACCACCACAGCATGGTAACTGACAGATGAGTGGTATAGGTCTGTGCCCAGAAACTGAACCTGGGCTGCTGAAGTGGACCACGCTGAACTTAAACATAGGCCACCTGGGCTGTCCCAGTCTTTTTCCTTTTCCTCAGACTCAATAATCCCCATTGTCCTATCTTCAATTCACTAATTCTTTCTTTTGCCTGTTCAAATCTGCCTTTGACTCCTTCTAGTGAAGTTTTCATTTCAGTTATTGTGATTTTCAGCTCTGGAATTGCTTTTTTGGTTTCTTTTTATATTTTCTGTCTCTTTATTGATATTTCACGCATCATTTTCTTGTCTTTCTCCACATCTTTCTTTAGTTCTTTGAGCATCTTGAGAGATAGTTATGTTAAAGTTTTTTGTCTCGTAGATCTGCCGTTCAGTCTTTTTCAGGGACACTGTCTGTTGATTAATTTTTTTCCTTTAAATGGACCACACTTTCCTGTTTCTTTGTATGCCTTGTGATTTTTTGTTGAAGACTGAGCATTTGAATCTAATAATGTGATAACTCTTGAAATCAGATTCTCCTTCTTCCCAAGGATTTGCTGTTTTTTATTACTTTTTTTGTGCTTTGATTGTTGTAAGCAGTTTCTGTGCTGAGGATCAGCTTGAGGTGTAAACTTAGTCTTCTCAAGTCTTTCTGAGCCTTTCCCCTGGAACGGGCGGTCACTTTCTAACTTTGCCTATATATACAATTATTTTGGATGTCCTAATCTTTAATGCCTGGCTCCTGAAAGAAGAAAAGGTGAAGAATGGAGCGAGAATGGTGCTGGCCTTTTAACTCCCCTGGAAGTCACTTCAGCTGGAGTGGGAGGGACTTGCAACACAACAATGCTAGGAGGTACAACGGCAATGGTTGTCTGCCTCTTTGTCTACACCTCTGTGATCAGAAGCAGCAATCAGTAATCAGAGCACAGTTCCCCACTAGTTGGAGGATGGGTACTTTTTGCCCAACCTGTCTCGTGGAAGCTATGTGCAGTCTGCTGTAGGAACACGTGCATAGCTTCCTGCCAAGTGACTAGAGGTGGGTGATGGGCAGCCAGTACTCTACTAAAAGCTGAATTTAACCTCAATTTACTGTCCATGTCTTCCCCTGTAAGGTGCAAGGCTTCAGCAAAGTCCAGTGTTCCAAAATAGTTACGAAGAGAAAGTCTGCCAGTATAATTTTTGTGTAGATTTGGAGAGAGCACCTGGTGCTTCCCACACTGCTGTTTTCCCAGAATCCTCTCCCCTTAGATGATTCATATGCTTTGAATTTAAATCCCTTAAAATATATAACTCAGACTTGTAAAAACTAGGTTTTTTAAAAAGTACATTATACATGAAGGTGTCAGAAATTGAAATGGCACCAAAGTATGTACAGTATCTCCTCTCCATTCTATTCCTTACTTCTAAGTTATCCCTATTGAGGCAACCTTTCTTATCATTTTTTCCCCATAGATTGTATCCATCCAGAGGTAGTCTATTCATATATACACCTAAATGTATATATACCCATACTTTCCTCCGCTCTTTCTTTTTTGACACAATTGTCATATATTTTAGAGAATAACCTCCAGGACTTGGCAGGATAAAAATTACTGTATATCGTACAACATATATAGACTGTCCTTTTAAGTATTCTACAGTTCTAGATAGTGCACAATTTATTTGAGCAATCTCCTAATGATGGACATGTAGGTTATTTTCAATTGTTTGTTATTAATGGCAGCCATATCTTAACATCTGTTGCTCATGTGTGTATCTATAGATTAAGTTCCTTGGACTGAAGTTGGTGGGTAAAAGGGACATGTGCTAAATTTTGATAAATGCTGCTCAGTTACTCTCTAAAGAGATTGTGACGGTATATAACACATTAGGTTTTGGAATGCCACTGCTTTTAGTGGTGAAAAATACCACTAATTAGTATATGTCTTGTAACTTCTCTAACCTGTTGCTGTTTGCTGCTACTTCAATCACAAAAACCTTGAGTTTTTGTTAAACTTGTTAATAAGTACAGGTTTCTTATTTCTTCCCTTACCTCCCACCGACTTAACAGTAAACTATTGCAACAGTAAAATATGTGAGCTCAAAATTTACAGTTTTCTCCAGGTTATTGCTTACTGCAAGCACCATGAAGGCAAGAACTTTTGTCTGTTCTGTTCATTCATAATCCAGTGTTCCTAGAACAGTGCTTGGCGTTTGTCATATAGTAAATTTTTGAATAAACTAATGAATGTAGTTTAATAATAATTTTCTCTCATTCAGCTTTTCTCTTTTCATCAAAAGTGTTTTTAGAAAGTGTAATAATTGGTTGTGGGCTTTTTGTGTATTACTCATCAATGAATTGTTGCTCTAAAATAGAAGTGATCATTATTGCTTTTTTGGGATTTCCTTTTCAGTTATTTCAATAAATTCTTAGGCCACAGGAGCAAAGTATTTTTAACTTCTGAAAGTAGAAGCCTTTTCTGTGTTCCTTTTTAGTATATTTGTTTATGTGTACACTCTCTTCTCACTTCCCATTGGACTTCTTTTCTTCAGTGCTTCTTAAATAGATTGGTAAAGGAGTAGTTACAGGGCAAAACCTTCTAACTGTATCTTAATATAGTCTGAAATATAATTTTGGGGTTGAAATAAACCTAAAGGCCTTGTGTCACCTAAAATTTAAAAAATAGCAATAACTTTCTCTTTAGTCCTCCTCACATATGCTCATTATGCATAGTGAAATTGAAAGTGTTTTTTTTTCTTAAAACAGGTTAAACTTAGCACTTTGTCTTGATATAATCTGCCACTTAGTGCCTATATACAGTCATCTGAAATGCTGTATGTCCTTTAAGAAAGCAGTGAAAGATTTCTATTTCTTTTTAAAGGCGGGATCCACGGCACCACTGTTCATTGACCAGACAGAAGAACCTGAGTCAAATGCAACAGATGGCATAGAATTATTTGAAGACAGTCAGCTAACCAGTCGCTCTAAAGCTATAGCATCAAAAACCAAAGAGATTGAACAGGTGAGAATCCAGTCTTCTTAAAGTACATAATCTTTTGTTCCTATCACTTTGCACGTGGTAGTTACGTAAAAATTTTATTTATTTATTTATATTTATTTTTTGGTGAGGAAGATTTACCCTGAGCTAACATCCATTACCAATCTTCCTGGTTTTTTTTGCTTGAGGAAGTTTAGCCCTGAGCTAACATCTGTGCCAGTCTTCCTCTACTTTATATGTGGGATGCCTCCACAGCATGGCTGATGAATGGTGTAGGTCTGTACCTGGGATCCAGACCCACGAAACTGGGCCGCCAAAGCAGAGTGCGTGGAACTTCAACCACTCAGCCATGGGGCCAGCCCAGTAAACATTTATTGTCTTTTTCCATTTGTGACTCTGAAATTACAATTTAAAAAATCATAAAGATTGTTTGATTTGATTTCACAGTAATTTTGATCAGTTTGGTCCCCTACCCTTGTTTACTTTTTGGTTTTTTAAATAAAAAGCAAGCTGCTTTTTAGAGAATATTAATATTGTAGTTAGTATGAAGCAATTAAAAAAACTATTAACCTTGATGGGGATGAGCTGAAAGAAATATTAAGTATACCAAAATGTTAGCAAATGTTATTTTTGAATATTGGAATTACAGATATTTCTTATGTTTTTCATTATACTTTTAAACATTTTTTTAAATGTTAAAAAACTTAAAGATAGGTATTTAAATTTAATTTTAATGATGACATTCTGAAAAGTTAGGATCTTATTTTTAATAGATTAAATATATTGCTAGGAACAGTTATAGGACAAAACCTTCTAGCTGTATCTTAAATATAATGTGAAATATAATTTTGGAATGGAATAAGCCTGGAGACTATCTTACCTAAGATTTAAAAAGTAGTAATCATTTTCTCTCTAATCCTCCTCACATATGCTTATTCTCCATAGCAAAATTTAAAAGAGTTTCAATATGGAAATATTACCTGCCTCATAGAGTATTATCACTTTATGAGAATTAAATGAAGTAAATAAAACGTGAAAGGGCTTTTTAAGTTGTAACATGTTGTATAAATATTTATTTTTGATGTTGTTATTCTCCATTGCATTGAGTAAATGTCATTATATTATTGTATAATCTTCTAAACACTATTGGAAATTAAGGACAAAATTAAATCTTTTCTCAAGGTTCTGACCATTTCCACATTGATTAAAATCTGTATCCCTTGGTTGGGTAGAAGATCTTAATTAAATCCTAGATGTTATTGTGCAGTTTATATTGATGCCACCTCAATGGTAAAAGATAAGAACCTGGATAGGAAATTTGTCATGTAGGCCAGGAGAGTTTCAAAATGGAGGTAGTCAGCAGTATCAGATGCTTGGAGGAATGTAAGGAGAATGGAGACTGAGAAAATCCTGTTTAATGTGGTGATGTGGAGGAAGATGGGTGCCTTTCAAGATAGCCGTTAAAAGAGAGAATAAAAATTTGCTCATTAGTTGTATCTTCAGCATGAATATGAATATCATTACCCTATATAAAGTTACTGCCCTTCTGTCTTTTTACTCTGACTTATTTTTCTTTATAGCGTTTTTTTTTTTTTACCACTTGACATGTTTTTATTTGTTTGCTTGTCTCCTCTCACCATAATAGAAGCTTCATAAGAGCAAGGACTTTGTTTTGTTTACTGCTTTATTTCCATTACCTAGAACAGTGATTGGCAAGTAGTGGGCTCACAAGGAATATTTGTTATATGGATGATGGATGGAGTCATAAACCTAGAAGTGACCTTTGAAAAGTCTCTGAGTTACTTGAAATCAGAGACTGTATCTTAACCTGACTACCTAACAGAGTGCCTAGGCTCGACACTTAGTAGTAAGTGCTTGATAAGTGTGTGTTGAATGAATGAGTGATTTAATGTTATTTTTATTTGCCACCTAAATTATAGTTCTTTGAAGGAGAGGTTCTCTTAAGAATATAACTGGTAGGAAAGCTTAACTTAAATAGCAGGGGAGGGAGTATTTTGGGTTGTCATTTATTAATATTTGTGCTATCTTCTGTTGTTATTATTCATAGTTAATCTATTTGATTTTGAAACGTTGGATTACCAGTCCGATGTAGAGCCTAGCTTAGCATACACACATAAAATTACTTAGTATGAAACCAGTTTCTGTAGTACTTTACAGACACCCATATATGTTTGACCTATAAGTGTGACTCTGCCCATTGTTCAAACACATGAAAAATCTGACGCCAAAGTATATTGAGATTATTACAGCAAGGAAAGATGACCTGAAAAAAGAAAAATAAGTCTAAAAGGACATTACTATATTCTGATGTGACTAGAGAAGCAAAACAGTTTGAGAAGTATTGTAAAATAGAAAACGTGATGTCAAATAGTGGAATGCAACTACTCTGTTTTTGCTGGGGTACTTTGGTTTTCATATATTGGCAAGAAAATCAGACCAAAAGCCCTCAAAGTGTCAGAAAGCTAGTAAACAGTGATACGTAACTATTTTATACATTCGTGTCTAAAAGTTACAGTGATTTTTGAAAATGATAAAAGTAGTTTTAAGGGGATTTTTTTCCATTTCCAACTTTGGCACATTTATTTTTAGGGATTAAATACCAGATGGATAGGAATATTATAAAAGCTTAAGAAAGCTAGATGGTAGTTACACAGCTGCCCAGTAATTATTCTTTATATTTTTCCATATGCTTGAAATATTTCATAATTTAAAAAGATAAGTAGGGGCCGGCCCGGTGGCTCAGCTGTTAAGTGCTTACGTTCCACTTCAGCAGCCCAGGGTTCGCCAGTTCGGATACCGGGTGGGGACCTGGCACTGCGTGGTAGGCCATGCTGTAGCAGGCATCCCACATATACAGTAGAGGAAGATGGGCACGGATGTAGCTCAGGGCCAGTCTTCCTCAGCAAAAAGAGGAGGATTGGCAGCAGATGTTAGCTCAGGGCTAATCTTCCTCAAAAAAAATAAAATAAAAAAATAAGAAGATGAGTAAAAGCCCTACATAGGTGAGACCAACAAATCAAGCTTAGAATAATGTAGAAATGTAAATATTGGTATAATACCCAAGCTGCTTGTTCTCTCTTTTATGTCAAGTGCAATATGTTCAGATATCTTATAAAGATAAATTACCACTATAATTTTTTGAGAGTTTATATAAATTAGATCCTTCAGCCTTTGAATCCCAAGAAAGTCATTAACTTGAGGCAGTGTTATGGTATAAAATAAACTAAATGTCCAGGCCAAACTTTGGTTTAATTCAAAATGCCGACAAATGCAACTATTTGATATTTAAGGGCGTGCATGTGGAGGTAGACTGTATCAGAATCACCTCAATGAGGGAGCAAATTTGTGTCCTTTGCCACATCATTGCTGTTTCATCCCTGGGCATATAAGAATTTGATGGGGTTTTGGGTGCAGGTACTTTTTGAAAAACCTCCCCAGGTTATAGTCAGATATGGCAGAGAACCACTGGTCTAAAATCCTTGAACTAGAAGACAAGATGCGTCTCTGAATATTGTGTTGCTAGGGATTCTTCAAATCATCCCACTTTTACTTGAATATCCTTTAGTGGATATGATCCATTCGGTTGCCACTGCATATTTAGCCTCCTTGTGCTTTGGATCCTATGCTGTATCTTCTTTTCCCCTCACTTCCTCAGATTACCCCCTCTTACCCAAAGTGGGCCATCTTTTACAGTCAATTATTGGAATATTTCCTAGGCTTCCTGGCTTCTGAGCTTTAAGAGGCAAATTTCAGACTTTCTCATCTCATTATAGTGATTCCTGGAGAGACTGAACCCACAAGATTATGGGTGATTCCTATTCTGGTTCAGGTGTTTAGCATTATCCCCTTGACTATAATATCTCGCAAGTCCTCACATCCCTACTATTACTGAACTATTTGTTTGGAAAGTGTATCCCACTACTTGCTGTTTTCCCGGTGAGGAATCTTGTGTCCTTTAACAAATTGTTACTTTGAATGAACCACACAAATTGAAATCCTCCATTATTACATACCCTTCTTCCCTCTGTTGCTTCTCTGGGGTGTCCCAATTTCTTTACCAAGCGTATAGATATACTGAAATTTGATACACATATGTACATGTATATGCACAGTTTATATATAGTATTTATGTGTGTATGTACACACATACGTAACACACATGCATCTGGAGCATGGTTGATCTTGATGAGAAGAGTTAAGAGTTGGTGTGTATGTCTCCATACTTTTTCTTTAAATACAAGTGGTAGCGTGCAATGTTCCCTGTTCAGTATATCTTAGAGTCCATTCTATATCAGTATATATAACTAGTCCCCTATTAATAGATATTTATAGTCCTTTGTGAACCATGTTTTAAAATATAGTTCTTCTGATTTCTCCGTATTTTAAAAAAGGTGTGTATGTGTATTTTTTAAATAAAGTATTACATTTAAAATAAGCAGTTTTAGTGGGGGAGTTGATTTCGTACTTTGGGTATCAAATGCCTGTGTTTGTCTTAAGAAGTACTGTTCAGGTTTTAATAACTGCTTAAGAGATTACCAGAGTGAATGTTAACCGCTTGTGATTCTAATGATATGCCAAATTTGAGAATAATTGGAGTATATGAGTTTGCAGAGAATCTTAATTTCTTGCTTGTACCAATCATTGTAAACCTTTCTTTAAAATTATATTAGTAGATACAATTAATAAAATCTAAACCAATACAGTTGCAGGAATATGCCTGAAATATTCTTTGAAAGCATTATTCATGGCATTCCTCAAATCATGGAAAATTATCATTAGTAGGAGAAAAAGTCTCTCTCTTCTTTCTTCTTATCTGGTGGATTATAACTGAAAAAGGAACAAGTACCATGAAGGCAATTTTCACTTTTAAAATCTCTTTGGCTATTTCAGAACATTAGCCTAATGTAATGCTGTTGTATGAAAATGCTGATATTTCTATCTATAATTAAGCCTCTCTGTTGAAAGAAGGGTTGATTATATATTTATCTGATAATTTATAGTTA